CCCCACTAGAGCAACCTCACCAGTACCAGGTCCTAGAAGACCCGTTTTCATCTCCTCCACAACGTCAATACCGGTGTCAAAGATGTCAGCTTGTATGTGCTACCCGCAGTGACCTGAACAGACATCAAATGAGATATCATGTGCAGCAAGGTGGTGGGTTCTTGCAATACTTTCCTTATTTACAAGGAGAGGAACCATGGACTGGAAACAAAACACTACAAGAAGAATATGAATTGAACACCCCACACATTCTTCGACGTCACCAAGAGGGATCCGTAACATCTATATATAACGTCCTTCTTACCAACGATATTTCAATTTTTGAGCTTATGGAATCCTTGGATGATATTTATGACCGTCAGCAACATGCTTTCAGACTAAATCTTCAATTTGGTTTGATTTTTGTTAATACCGAAACTGGGGATTACAGATATTTCATTCCGTACACTAACGAATCGTCGTTTCCTCCACCAATTTATGTATCTAGACGCACCGACCTAGAAAAAGTCCGAAAACGTTTACAGCGATTTAATATTTTGGACTACATATTGAAATAACGTACTTATACCAAGTGGAAACCGGTGCTAGACACAAATTCACCTATTTAATTTAAATTGTATTTTGTGTGCACCCGTACAACTTCCGCACTACATTCTATCGTCAAAGTCAAGCTTACACAAAACTGAAAACAGAGGAGAACCATATGACGATAATTCATGCGCTTTCCGCTGCTTAACATTGCATCGTCACTTAAAATAACAGATGCAATCAAACACAAAACGGTATTTCAAGCAATGGATGAAGTATCTCAAAGAAAAACATGAAGATCCACAGGAGCACTCTGAAGGGGTATCACCAGCACAAGTGGCCTCTTTTGAGAAATGTAAACATTAACATATACAGACATCAAGAGGATGGATCTGCCTTGTCCATCTATAAGTTACGCTGTCATCTCAAAGAGACTATGAACATGTACGAGCAACATCTCTCGTATACATGTATTTCAAATTTCCGGTCGTATGCTACCAAGTACCAATGCAGGACGTGTGATCGTCATTTTACTCTACTCGACAATATGTCTTGATTGTTGATGATATGTTGATTATCACGGGGATCAAATCTCCAAAAGCTGTGAACGAAGTTGTATTTCTTGTCGTTTTAGAATTGGCTGTCAGCTTATAAGAGTAGGTAGGCGGAATCAAAATGTACTTTACAAAAGAAAAAAAAAAGACTTACGAAGACCATCTCAAATCTCTTTATTACAACACCAGTCATGCAGGGTCTTTTAGTGGATTAGACAAATTATACCGGACCGTTCGAAAAGACGGAAAGTATGTTATAGGAAAAGCTAAAATCAGAAAATGGTTGCAGAAGCAAGAGACTTGCACGTTACATCAACATGTGCGTCGCCGTTTCAAAAGACGGCGCGTTATTGTTCCTAACATGGATTATCAGTGGGATGCAGACACGGTTTCCATGACAACCTACATCAAAGACAACGATGGTTCTTTGTTCTAGTTATTAACATCTTTTCACGATATATTTGGACTGCACCGTTACGTACCACCAGGGGGCTTGAAATAGTGGCGGTCTTAAAGTCGATATTTGACCGAGGAAGGACGCCCGACAAACCAAGGACGGACAAGGGTGTAGAAATCAAGAATAAGGGTTACAAAAACTAACCAAATACTTGGGAATAGACCAGTTTTATACTCAAAATGAAAGTGAAGCCAATTATGCTGCGAGAGCCATCAAGAATATCAAGTCACGCATCAGTCGGTATCGAAGTCAACGTCAAGCAAATCGATGGGTTGATGTTTTAGCGGAAGTAACGGAGAGTTATAATAAGACGTTTCTCCGAAGTATCAAGAAAGCTCCGATTGCTGTAGAGAAGAGGGATCAAGTGTCGTTGTGGAAGATACAGCACGACATCAAACCTCCGACGAAAAAGAGATCGAAAGGTATACCATCCATTCGCTATAAATTTAAAGTAGGCGATAAGGTTCGTATCTCCCATTTACAGAGACCGTTTCAGCGCGAATACGATGAACTTTGGACCTACGAGTTCTTTGTGGTAGGATCGAGGGAAATGAAACAAGGACTGGCTCTCTACACTTTAAAAGACGTGGAAGGAGATGCAGTGAGTGGCACATTCTACGAATCTGAATTGTCTAAAGTGATTGTGTCTGATGACACAATGTATCGGATCGAGAAGGTATTGAGACGCGTCAAGAATAAAGCGTTGGTGAAATGGTAGGGATGGCCGTTAAAATTCAACAGTTGGATTCCATGGAAAGATGTGCAATTGTACGGTTTGAAAGTATCAGAGAAGGCATTGTGTAAATTTCGGCTCTGTTAGAATGGAGCATTATCTATTTTTAGGCTCACTGAGGACTCCGTTCATGCACCTAGGAAATGTGCCTGGAGATTTTATCGTTACTCTTCCGAAAACGTATCGATTGGACGGACATTAGGAATGAGCATTGTTGGAAATGTCGTTGCACATGCCGTATCACGAACGCCTACACGTGTGCTGTGATGTCGTTGAAGATTCCTATGTGAAAGGAACATTATTGCCATTATTGAGAATCATACCCTCTGTGGAAGATGACGGCACACTTATAGGTCATGCAACTGTTTACGGTCACCTGCTATTTCAACGACCCTATTTCTTTTCCTTACGGGGAGGAAAAAGTCTTGATAGGATACGATTATTTATAAGAGGTAGTGACATGCAACCTGTATCCCTGGATAAACCTGTTAGCTGTGTTTTATTGCTAAAGAAGCGAAGATGGGTTCCATAGAAGTGTACGACGCCAAGCTTTCCAAATGGGTACCTTATATCCCCGATTTCAGGACAAATAATTAAATCTGTTCAATTGACTTATAAAAATTCATCTGTTAGATATGTTTTGTAACAATGGCACAACAATGTATTATGATGTAATTTGTTATTCAGAGGTTCAAGTGAATTTGCAGATAGGTGTTAAATTGTTTGATATTGTCCCTAAGGGTTTCCTTTCATCTTTTTTTTACCTAGTGTCTAAGTCAAGATATACTCAGGTGTCAGTAGATTTTTCTTTGTTAGTGGGATTACCCGTGTTAAAGTAAATTAATTGATAATGGTCAGTGTCTGGAGATCACAGTCACGTGATCTATTTAATAGCGATTTCAATTAACGAAACTATTTGAGAAAAAAGAAACTAAATTTTGATTTGCCGAAATTGACCAGGGATGCCCGGGTCTCCGATATAGATTGCGTATCCTTTTTCAGTCATTCTTATCGGAGACCTGAATAAAGCAGCATCATTAACTTCGCGCTTCCCTGTGTCTAATTTCAGAGTAATCGCCTCAAACCTATTTTGACTACATTATGTCATTAAGGGTCCTTCGCACTGCCAGCGAGTCAATTTCCCCAACAATATACATCGTACAAAAACACGACACGATAACTAAAGGAGTTTATGAGATACAACTTAAAGGAACAAGAGCACCAAGATGCCAACACCATCCAATGGAGGACGAGAGTCGCCAATGGAGAACCAGAACACAGAGTTAGAACAGATGAGAAAGATGTTAGAGGAACGGGGGAAAGAGATCGCAGCCCTTCATGAACAGAATGAAGAATCCCAATTAAGAGAAATGGAAATACGCCGACGAGAGTCAAGACAGATTCAAGCCAGGGAGGAGGAGATCGAGAACCTATAATATCAGCTAAGACGGGGGGGAGCTCAAAACAACCACACACAACCCTGTCTTATGCTACAACGCCTAAAGTTAAGTTAGACAAGTATGACGGAAAGACGTCCATCATTCAGTGGTGGCTTAAATTCATAACCTTCATAAACATGCAACGCCTGACAGAGAAGATGGTCATTGAGACCCAACTATTTTATTTAGCCAGAGTCGCGGAGTCGTGGTCCTTTTCTCTTGATGAAGCAGTGAAACATTCCCTTTTCACCATCAAGGAGGCCATCCATCAACAATTCCAACCATCCTCCAGAAACAATCTTCAAATGATGGATGTGAACCAAAAACAATTTTCATCCATAGGGTAACTCAGATGACTACCGATAGACGGGTGGACCAGGATTGGGTAATCACTCACTGGGTGAAAAAAGTGGTTTCCCATCATGGGAAACTTTATGGAAACCACATGGAAACCTCAAGTTTACATCATGTTTCCCAGTGGTTTCTGCAGCCGATGCCAGGTTATTCCGCCAAGTTTCCTTGACACGGAAACCCCCTACGCTCCGATTCCATAAGGTATCCCGAACCACGGAAACCTCTGTAAACCTGAAGTTTCCCGAACATCCATGTAGTTTCCCGTAATGGGAAACCTAAAGATTCCACTGGTTTCCAGAATCAGGAAACTTGATGGAATCGGAGCGTAGGGGGTTTCCGTGGAATGGAAACTTGGTGGAATCTTTAGGTTTCCTTTTACGGGAAACTACATGGAAGCTCGGGAAACCTCACCATTCCTATAGTTTCCTTGACTCAGGAAACCATATGGAATTGGAGCGTAGTGGTTTCCGTGGGATGGAAACTTGGTGGAATCTTAAGGTTTCCTTTTTAAGGAAACTACATGGAAGCTTGGGAAACCTCATGATTCCTAAAGTTTCCGTGACTCAGGAAACCACAGGGAATCGGAGTGTAGTGGTTTCCCGGGAATGGAAACTTGATGGAATCTTAAGGTTTCCTATTACAGGAAACTACATGGAACCTCATTAAACCTTACGATTCCTAAAGTTTCCTTGACTCAGGAAACTATATGGAACTTGTGTAGCAGTTTCTGTGTGGCGGAAACTTGGTGGAATTATCTGGAGTCCCATTCCTGGTTGAAGTTACTGGGAAACTTCAAGATTCCCTAACTCTTCTTAAGGAAGCGATGTGAAATTATGTGTATTCTTTCAAAAATCAATCAAAAAAATTATTAAATGTAAGAGAAAAAAAAGCATTACCATTTTATATGTTTAATAATTCATTTGATGTATAAAAACTGTAACAGTATTTTTCAATGATATCAAAATACTAAATAAATTCATATATCTTAGATAAACAATGGAACAGTCTTTCACATTTAAGTCCATTCATAAGCGTCATTAAGTACTTCTTTCAACATCAGTCCCCTGGTATTTCCTTCACATCACCTATGATCTGCAATATTCATATAAAATTATCATATGATGTGTCAGAATTATAATGCTTGAATATAACTTAGAAATCTGAAAGATCAGTCAATGTTCTTTAATATACCAATATCAATAATTACTTTCCATGACCATGATACATATGATTTCAACATTTAATGTGTCTCTTTAAAATTTAATGCTTTATGATAAGGAAAAAAATTTTACATAATATAAATAATGTTTTCAGCCTCTTTATGTCATTGAGAATATATTACAATTTCATAGAACCCTGCTTTAAGTTGAATTAGTTTGAGAGAAAATATACTCTTTATAATAACAAGAATATTAATAGAGAGAGAATTTTTTTTAATTTTTGATATTTGACCTAAAAAATTGGTTGAAGATCATTGCAGACCCTCTACACCAATTGCATAAAAGCTAGATTACACCAAGGGAGAAATATACTCTGGACTACGACTTTGAATAAAGATATACAGTACATTTTGATACTGACCTTTGACCTAGAAAATAAGTCCAAGGTCACTCTTCATCCTCTATCCACAGGCTCTCTGTAGTTTAAGTTTGAGAGAGAAATGTGCTCAGAACAAGTGATATCAGATGGTGTGATGGGTAGACACACTGTCTAAGGGCATCCACAGAACAGGTCTCTAAAAACAATGCAATATATATGTATTACAGTATAGATATACATGTACTTGTATGTTAATGATTTACAGGGACGTAGCAACTGGGTGGGCCTGGCCCCCAAATTTTTTTTTCCCAGCATAACCTTTACTATAGAAAATGTTCATTGAAAGGATGGTTGCCCCCCCCCCCCCCCCCCCCCACTTTTTCCCTAACCTTACTAATATTATAGGAAATTTTTTTTTTTTGCTTGTCAACTTTTTCAGGTAAGTAAAAAAAAAATTCTCTGGTTGGCCCCCCCCACTTTCAAAAACGATGCTATGTGCCTGAAATTCATATGCTGCATTGGACACATATGCTTTTATCATGGTGTAAGTATACATGTTCCTTATGAGTAATTTTATGCCAGTATTGCATGTACACTCGGTTTATAAACAAGTAATTTAAATTTTTTTTTTTTTTTTTTTTTTACAAAAATTGACCAACATTATTTACATCCACTCATCATCTTCATGAATTGGTGGATCAAAATTCAGTCAGTTTTAGATCTCTATTTCACATTTACAAAAGTTATTCCCCTTTGTAGGGTCAATCTGGGGTCAATCGGCTTAAGACGCTGTTTTCCCTCTATATAACCATACCAACTTTGAGGGTCAATATCTTGGAAGTGAAATCTGTAATACTATGAACATGTTCATTATGATTTTCATGTTACCCCATACTCTGGCCATACAGATACAGATCGTAATTGTTCAATATCGTTTGAAGATTGAAAAAATACAAGTAACTTACAAAGGACAAAGTGAGAAAAATGAGCGATACACCGACAATTGGAGACAACGCTTAGCAATGTGAAATTTGTCTATTGGTGATGACAATTCCTGTTTTAATGTCACTGAAAAATTAAGAGACATTAAAAATTTAAGCCCTATTGTCATGCATGCATGCTGTTTTTTTTTAAGTATTTTCAACCAAACTATAAATTACAATTGCTTGTAATTGAAAGATGGATCCATTACACATTGCACCCCATTACTTTGAAAAAATGTAATGATTACAATGCATTACCATTACCCGTGGTCTGTTTTTCAACCACATAACCTTTTACTATCATAAAATTTACCAAAATTTAATACTTCAAATAATTTCATTGAATACATGTATCTAAAAAATTGAGGAAACTCTAAAAACTTAGTGTCAGACTTACAGAAATTAATCTTTGGAGAGAAAAAAATCTATCATATAAAGATGTGCATAATGAGCCTTTTTTATTCATTTAGAACATATCATATGTGCATCATTTCCCCAAGAAATTTTCAAAGACAATGGACTATTTGTGAGCAGAAATCATTGCTGTTTACTTAATACATTTGGAAAGTTTATGAAAATAATCAAATAATTTCTTTATTTTTGATTTTAGATAAAGCTAAAAATAATTTAATCTCTTACAAGTAATCCAACTGACTGTAAAATAATTTTTTTTCTTAATCTCAATCTAAGGGCAGATCACTCTAACTGCATAAAACTACCCAATATCAAATTAGAGCTTTTTAGTGTGCAGTTTTTAGAGCTTCCTTAAAGTCATCAAAATACTGACCAGCAAGAAATCAGTTAATAACATTTCCTCTTTTTCATTCAAATTTTTTGGCATAATCATGTTATTCGCTTCGCGAATGGAATAAGTTTGACGTTGTACACGTTAACGTCAAAACCTGTATAGGAATGATTTTAATCATGTTTTAGCATTCGTTAATAAAAATTATCAATAATTTAAGGAAATAAAATATATTGAGAATAAATGGAGAATTCTGTCTTGTATGATAACGGAATAGGTATAAAAAAAAATGAAAGAACCGTATCGATCATACATATGTGAAGAACAGGTAGGGAATCAAATAACATGAGTATATATATACAGACGCAACATTCTAAAAAGCCTATGAAAGGGGATTTATTCCCCGGAAAAGGGTTTCTTTGGGGGACATACAGATAAAAAATGGGGCTTGGATTTTTTGTGGGGATCATACTTAAAATGATCATTTCTTAAATGATCAAGGCATATTATAGGAAGCGAATCAAATAACATGAGTATATACCGCCGCAAGTTCTGTTTTTCCTTGCATGAGAGTCAATTAGACCGTATCGATCATATATATGTGAAGAGCAGGTAGCGAATCAAATAACATGAGTATATATATACAGACGCAACATTCTAAAAACCTCTGAAAGGGGAGATTTTCCCCGGAAAAGGGTTTCTTTGGGGGACATACAGATAAAAAATGGGGCTTGGTTTTTTTGGGGGATCATTCTTAAGATTATCATTTTTCAAATGATCAAGGCAAATTATAGGGAGCGAATCAAATAACATGAGTATATACCGCCGCAAGTTCTGTTTTTCCTTGCATGAGAGTCAATTAGACCGCATCGATCATATATATGTGAAGAGCAGGTAGCGAATCAAATAACATGAGTATATATATACAGACGCAACATTCTAAAAGCCTCTGAAAGGGGAGATTTTCCCCCGGAAAAGGGTTTCTTTGGGGGACATACAGATAACAAATGGGGCTTGGAATTTTTGGGGGGTTTCATTCTTAAAATGATCATTTTTCAAATGATCAAGGCAAATTATAGGTAGCGAATCAAATAACATGAGTATATACCGCCGCAAGTTCTGTTTTTCCTTGCATGAGAGTCAATTAGACCGTATCGATCATATATACTCAACAAAAAAAGAAACGCATATTCAGAACAATATGAAAATCTAAGTTTTCAGTTTAAACCTTATTTTATTTAAGCGATTATAGAGTGTGTTGTGATAAAAATCAAACATGTCCTATGTTGCAAATTGAAAAGTCAAGTTGATGTCATTTTCATCGCCCCCAAATTCAAGGGGCATAACAATATGTACTGTGCGAAGTCTCAATGCTAGTGGGATTCCAATGTACGGATATCGTGGAGGAATACCATCTCTTTTCAGTCTCGTGCGAACAATTTATGGACTTTTATGCTGATTTTATCATCCAGCAATTGTAGCAGCAGTTTTTACAGCAAGTTCTGAATAGCATGAGGTGACGAGGGGGGGGGGGGGGGGGGGGGGTCTGACGGTCCTGCCTGGTTGTGGTTACTTGCGGTTGGCCAAATAATGGTCTTCAGACGTTAGTTTAACGGTTGCAATGCTCATCGATTTATTCCAAATACAGTTGCAACTTTCTGTTGCGTAGCTCCGTTTAGTATCATCGTTAGCCTGGTTGTGTTCATCTTTGTTTCGGCATGGCATTGCAGCACCAACACTGCAATCAAATCTTAAATATGGGTTTAATAGGAGTGTTAATAGTTTCTCTAAATACAAAGTATCAACGAAAATAGACATCCGATTTAGAAGAAATCATGAAAAACACTTCTTTCATAAACATGTTTAATCAAGGGAGATAATTCAACACTTGGGTTTTAAAACCCCATGTTGTCCTTTAAATAGGTCACAGGTATCCAATGATATAAAAAATAGTTGTTCCATGTACATTTTAAAAATTTCTTTGACGATTAAAACAATATGCGTTTCTTTTTTTGTTGAGTACATATGTGAAGAGCAGGTAGCGAATCAAATAACATGAGTATATATATATACAGACGCAACATTCTAAAAACCTCTGAAAGGGGAGATTTTCCCCGGAAAAGGGTTTCTTTGGGGGTCATTCAGATAAAAATGGGGCTTGGTTTTTTTGGGGGGATCATTCTTAAGATTATCATTTTTCAAATGATCAAGGCAAATTATAGGGAGCGAATTAAATAACATGAGTATATACCGCCGCAAGTTCTGTTTTTCCTTGCATGAGAGTCAACTAGACCGTATCGATCATATATATGTGAAGAGCAGGTAGCGAATCAAATAACATGAGTATATATATACAGACGCAACATTCTAAAAGCCTCTGAAAGGGGAGATTTTCCCCCGGAAAAGGGTTTCTTTGGGGGACATACAGATAAAAAATGGGGCTTGGAATTTTTTGGGGGTTTCATTCTTAAAATGATCATTTTTCAAATGATCAAGGCAACTCATAGAATCAAATAACATGAGTATATACCGCCGCAAGTTCTGTTTTTCCTTGCATGAGAGTCAATTAGGCCGTATCGATCATATATATGTGAAGAGCAGGTAGCGAATCAAATAACATGAGTATATATATACAGACACAACATTCTAAAAGCCTCTGAAAGGGGAGATTTTCCCCAGAAAAGGGTTTCTTTGGGGGACATACAGATAGAAAATGGGGCTTGAAATTTTTTGGGGGTTTCATTCTTAAAATGATCATTTTTCAAATGATCAAGGCAAATTATAGGGAGTGTATCAAATAACATGAGTATATACCGCTGCAAGTTCTGTTTTTCCTTGCATGAGAGTCAATTAGGCCGTATCGATCATATATATGTGAAGAGCAGGTAGCGAATCAAATAACATGAGTATATATATACAGACGCAACATTCTAAAAACCTCTGAAAGGGGAGATTTTCCCCGGAAAAGGGTTTCTTTGGGGGATATACAGATAAAAAATGGGGCTTGGTTTTTTGGGGGGATCATTCTTAAAATGATCATTTTTCAAATGATCAAGGCAACTTATAGGGAGCAAATCAAATAACATGAGTATATACCGCCGCAAGTTCTGTTTTTCCTTGCATGAGAGTCAATTAGACCGCATCGATCATATATATGTGAAGAACAGGTAGCGAATCAAATAACATGAGTATATATATACAGACGCAACATTCTAAAAGCCTCTGAAAGGGGAGATTTTCCCCGGAAAAGGGTTTCTTTGGGGGACATACAGATAAAAAATGGGGCTTGAAATTTTTGGGGGGTTTCATTCTTAAAATGATCATTTTTCAAATGATCAAGGCAAATTATAGGGAGCGAATCAAATAACATGAGTATATACCGCTGCAAGTTCTGTTTTTCCTTGCATGAGAGTCAATTAGGCCGTATCGATCATATATATGTGAAGAGCAGGTAGCGAATCAAATAACCTGAGTATATATATACAGACGCATCATTCTTAAAAGCCTCTGAAAGGGGAGATTTTCCCCGGAAAAGGGTTTCTTTGGGGGACATACAGATAAAAAATGGGGCTTGGAATTTTTGGGGGTTTTCATTCTTAAAATGATCATTTTTCAAATGATCAAGGCAAATTATAAGGAGCGAATCAAATAACATGAGTATATACCGCCGCAAGTTCTGTTTTTCCTTGCATGAGAGTCAATTAGGCCATATCCATAAATTTCAATTAAAATTAACGGAATAAATAACAAACTTTATTCAATTATTTATTTTCTCATTAAGTCATCAATAAGCTAAATTTTAAAAAATGTGTTTATTCCGTAAATGATATGAATTTAGATATAAAACTTTACGGAATAAATAGCAACATTTATTTTACTAGTTTCAATTAATTAATTGTCTGCCGTTCATACGGAATTAATAGCGTATCTTAAAACTAATTTCTTTTCATGCATTTTCTCTTTGTGGTATTATATACTTCAGTTTACGTGAAAAGCATTGAAAGGGGAAAATAAAATTGTGTTTATTCCGTAAATGATACATGTATAAATTTAGATATAAAATTTTACGGAATAAATAGCAACATTTATTTTACTACCTGTAATTAATTAATTTATTTTACTACCTGTAATTAATTAATTGTCTGCTGTTCATACGGAATTAATAGCGTATCTTAAAACTAATTTCTTTATATGTATTTTCTCATTTTTTGGTATTATATACTTCAGTTTACGTGAAAAGCACTAAAAGGGAAAAATAAAATTGTGTTTATTCCGTAAATGATATAAATTTAGATATAAAATTTTACGGAATAAATAGTAACATTTATTTTATGTATTTTCTTTTTGTGGTATTATATACTTCAGTTTACGTGAAAAGTATTAAAAGGGGACAATTGTGTCGGTATATACTCATGTTATTTGATTCGCTCCCTATAATTTACCCTGATCATTTGAAAAATGATCATTTTAAGAATGAAACCCCAAAAAAATCCAAGCCCCATTTTTATCTGAATTACCCCCAAAGAAACCCTTTTCCGGGGAAAATCTCCCCTTTCAGAGGTTTTTTAGAATGTTGCGTCTGTATATATATACTCATGTTATTTGATTCGCTACCTGTTCTTCATATATATTTAAAACGAACTTTTTCCTTTGAAAATCTCCCCTTTTATAAAATTTTAGAATGTTGTCTCTGTATATATATATACCCATGGCATTTCATTCGTCACCCATTCTTCATATATATGAACGATTATCTAAAGAATCCAGCATTGGACCTCTCTCTCTCTCTCTCTCTCTCTCTCTCTCGTATTATTTTATTTCCTGAAATAGTAGTCAATACTACTAAATATTCGAAAATAATAATATAAACTGTATAACATCATTAGAATCCCTCTTATATAAGAAATGACGTTAACGTGTACAACGTCAAACTTATTCCATTCGCGAAGCGAATAACATGATTATGCCAATTTTTTGAGAGATCTCAAAGTTTTTTCCTCTTCAATTCAGGTTCGAGATGACAAAGTTTTACTGTAGTGTATGTATTAGAGAACTGATTGTATGTCAATCACGACAATACATACATAACATGGAGGGGGCAAATTGTTTCAGCCCTAGCTTTTACATAAAACTTCTTGTAGCTCACAGCTGATAAACCACAGCTCAGTATTTAAAATTTAGAATCATTTTTTTTCAGGCAATTGTTATACATACCAATCATGATTTAATTACCACTTACCAAATGACCACATCCTGAATCATCATACATTTTATATGATTTTATCTCACTGGTTTTCTTTTAAAGTCATGCAGTTTTCTTCTCTCTGAAATGATAAATTATGTTAAGGTACTATTGCATTCTAATTTAAACTAATTATGTAATAGCATTAGCAACAACAGGGATGGGCAAAAAAAACAAAACAAGATGCGCTTGTAAAACACTATGTGCCCGGCGGCAACAAAGTTTCAAAAAAGCAATTTTTTTAGCATATAGGTCACAATCAAGATCACATAATCACTGTCCTTGTTGTCATGTGAAAGCACTTCATAAGTGGAGTATGCATACTAAATATGATGTCACTATCTCATATAGTTCTAAAGTTATGGTGAAGGTTTAAGTTGACAACAGACAGACACAGATAAACAGTTATGGCAAAAGTTCAAAAAAGCTATTTTAACATATAATTACAGCCAAAGTCACAAGGTCATTGACCTTGTTGCATTTCAAAGAACTTAATTATCATAGTATGCATACCAAATATGAAGTCTCTATCTCTCACAGTTCAAAAGTCATGGCAATGGTTCAAGTTGACAACAGACAGAAAGGACAAAATCAATACACGTGCCAAATCTATCAATTCAGGCATATAAAAATTTCAAACAAATGATCATCAACTAGTTTGTACCATTCTACTTCTCCTATGTCAGGACAACCATCACTAATTCACTATTTCATACAAGTCTTTTTTTCAAAATATTTAATCTAATGCAATAGCTCACCAGCAGAATATGATATTGTGCTCGACTCATTGTTTGCCTGCACCACAGTTATGTAGAATGTGGCGTATGTTATAAACTTATAATTATATTCAGATATAAGAAGCATATTATTTTTTATGACACAGACAGCTAAGTCTGTTCAGTTAGACGATACCATGTACACTGTACATGTATGTAAGTAGTTTAATTGTGCTTGATTATTTACTTGTTTTCTTCTCAACTTAAAGCTGAACACAACTCGTAAATAGGCATACGCCATTTTCGATAGCATTATCTACGATACATCAATACTAGGGTATACTCGTTGCAATCGTTAAACCTGACTGCTTTATTGTCACAGGTATTGGCGTGGAATAGCAACCCGTGATCGTGCTGGTTATCTTGCATTACCTTTTTCTAGAATTTTATTGCAGTTACATTTATCTGTGTTTTTTGTATATTTTACTGACTTATAAAACTATAATTGTTATAAACTTATTTGTTATCTTATTTTCCTGCATTAGATGAAGTATTACGTTATTACTTTCGCTATCGACTTCTTCTGTAGAGCATACGTCCGTCTTCACCAATGTAGACTGATTACACTGAACAGTGACCAACTGCTGCCCTATTTATAGCGGTCTGCAGAGAAGATAGACTTGGGAACAAAAATGGCGGACAGATTCCTTTTACGAATCGTATTCAGCTTTAAAGTGTTCTGTATTTTATTACCAAGTTTTAATAAGCATTTTGAAACATACTATCAATATTAATTCACTATGAAGGCTTAATTTTCTTTTTTTACATCTTCATCTGTTCATCTCAGCAGGTTAGATAGTACAAAAAAATCTTTTGAGCAGTAAACTATTTCAATAAACAAACCTATTCTCTTCAGAGAAGTGGACAGGTTTTCACCTACATTCACTTTTTTATGCATATTTTCCCTCCATATCATCATCATGCATATGATTAAGGGTTAAACTACAGTATTGGCTACAATCTATTCCAACTGTTCTGAATGATGATATCCTTCATGATAATCGGATAAGCTGAGATTGAAGACACTTTTTGTAAAAATATTGATGCTTTTATCAAGGTTTTGAACCAAAAGTATTTCATTCATACCTTGCCATAAGTCATAAGTTCCAAAAATCAAAAGAGTTGGCTATCCGAAAACGGAAAGTCAGAAGAAATTCAAACCGGATGTACTACAGTCTGAATTTAACTACGAAACCATGCTCGGTATAACTATTATCATCCGGATAATTTGAGCGGGGTTAAAAATATATAATCCGAAAAAGTATTCATTTATATTTAGAGAGAGAACATAGATATTGAGCATACATTTTAATAAACATGGTGAAAGGCGAAACGTTGCCATTTTACAACATACGGTGCCTTGGGACCTCTATAATCTATTTAAGTTATGTTGTATCACTGTCTCAAATCTCTCTCTCTTTCTCTCTCTCTCTCTCTCTCTCTCTCTCTCTCTCTCTTTTGCAATATATGCACTTAACAATTTAAAACTTAGATATCCAACTTTTTAAAATGGCGTCAGAACAAAAGTTGCCTCCGATAGTGAAGATTTGCTGTTGCCAAATATTACAATTATTTGCCGTAAAAAGTTAACAAAAATATACGTACATTAATCCTTGGTCGTTTGTCATTGCATTTATCACAGTCTTAAAGACACTGGGTGGTGAAAACATCAACTTTTCACATTTACGAGCTGCTCACACCTTCTTCTTCGTCCTTCTCGCGATCCTCCAAAAATGGCGCCTCGGGAAATTGACCAATGAAATAAAGCGCCTGCAGAGCGATGCAGGATGGGAAAATAAACAAACTGTTTATATTCACTATGATTATGTGTGATTATGAGATTTTATATTAGAATTTAGAAGTTTTCCCCTGTTCATGGAATAAAAAGAGGGGCTCCTATTAAAATATTTTTTGTCGATATGATGTGTAGGCCTTGTATATTTAGATAAAAAGCGGTTAAATACGTGAGAGCAGAGAAAAATTATGTTTCTTGCGTGACACCTCAACTTATTTGCCTTCGGGATCAGGGGTTCGGGGCTTGGTTGTTGGTAGTGGCCGTCCTAGCTGAAAGTACCCCCCCCCCCCCTTCCCCGCTACTTTTAACTGTTATAATTATGAATTTATAACGTCACATCAAAAGATGTTAAACCTTTAAAAGTACATTTTTTTTTTAATTGCGGACGTTCCACAGGAATCCTTAAAGGCATGAAAATGAGTTACAATTATAATGCATGTATAATTAACAATAACCGTCCTTAATTTTTTTTTTATTTCAATAGTGATGATTGAAAAGTTCAGTGTTTAATAATTAATTGCTTATAATTTTTGGGGGGATTAAAATACTACTAGAACTCCCTCCTTTTCTGGTTTTAATTAGATTTTGAGCCTGCTATCAATATACTGTATTATTACTGGTGGGCCTTCTAGACGTTTCTCTATTTGCTACATGTAGGCCTAAATTGTACTTGAAACTTCTTTGCCTTTAGCTAATAACTTTCCCACATCATTTTAACACGTAAAATTGTTAAATGAATTAGGATGTTGAAGATCTTTTTCTTAGGAGAGTTAAATTACATGTATCTCAAGATGGAATAAAACTTACATCTAATCAAAGGCAAGAAAATATAATAGAATTGAATTCAGTATTTAGTCGTGATGGGTATGTGGGTCATGGGAAAAATTATGTCAAAAGTCATCTAGATACTCGTTGATGTAAAGGGCTGTATACTTATGCATATACAGCTTTAGCTGGTCCCGCCCTGTATTTCTTTTAATGTTTTTTTTTTCGTTAAGAAATCTGGTAAGGTATGCTAGTAAAAAAAAAAAATCCCGGTAAGTTTATTACCCTAACGGAAATTACTTTCCTACAGGCCTGAAGTTCGAGTCTATTAGTCAAATTTAAAAATGTTACGCATCTTTTTTAAAAAGAGTAGCATGTCGGGGAATAAAAATAAAGTAATGTACAATTTAGATAAAGAAATGTTTGTTTAACTATAATAATTGACAAACTTCATACCTTTATGTAATGAAATCAACAAAAACTGCACAAAAATACAGTCGTGACAATTATACAATTAATTCTTTTAATAGATTGCCTTAGCATCCACTTCTTTAAATGCCGTTGTTCTTCAGGAAAACAAAATGATGCAAAATATTATAGACTTTTCTTTATCTAGAGAAATGGCCTTTTGAGAAAAGAATGGCTGACATTTTTAAAGTTTGTTAAATATATGTGCATGATCATATGTGCATTTAGGACCCAACATTGTAATTTTATGCGAAAAGTGCAGACGTTTACTACACGGGGATCTGCGTACATATAAACAAAAAAGGAAAAAAAGTATTATGTAATGAATATTATAACATTATCTAATAAATGCTTATGTATAGTACGTTGGATTACAAATTTCACACAAAAACTCATCAAGACTATTAAATACAGTGTTGATTTCACATTGATCTATTAAGTAATTCTGATTTAATATAATTATACACGACGAGAATTTAGATCTAATCAATACCTATAGAAAATTATTTAATTTCTAAAGAGCATAGTTTTTTCAAATCAGTAATGAAAATTGAAATAAAAATTCTAAATAGTTCGTTCTTTCATTGAACATCTTAAATTAAATGTATGTTATTTTATAAAAATGTTCTCTTGTACATTGTTGTATAACTTTATTTATGAAATATACAATTTTTTAATTGATAAAAAAACACATCTTAATTCAAACGAATTTTCGGTCGGAGGCTGTGTGTGTACATGCTTGACAACAGCCCATTGTTCCCTTTAGGTAGAAAACCGTCTCAATTCACATAGAATATACAAAAAATACACAGTGACAGGTGTCTTCGCGGCACGTGTCTCCACCTAATATGGCACGTGAGGACAGGTGCCCGTAGTTATTACACAGGCCGACTTTAGTGACTTTTTCAAGTGTGGTTTTATTTTTTTTTTTTAAAGGGGGGGGGGGGGCTTCTCTAGGAAAAAATGAAAAGCAATCCACCCACCCCAATAATAATAATAATCTATTAAATTAAAAAAAAACAATCTTACTAAAGTAAAATACTAGTATGATAATACTCAGCCCCCAACCAATTCGATGGATTTTATCTGACCAATTTACATTGATCTCTATGTAACCATACTTACATGTACTCTTCTATATTTTGTTTTTTTTAAGGTCAGACGATACGTTTCCCATTAAGTATCTGTTTTGTGAATCTTCATATTGATGTATGATAAATTTGTATAAAAATCTTTATTACTTTCTAAACTGGTTTTTCAAAATTTGAAACTTACACTAAAAATGTAATTGTGACAAACCAACTGAAGATTTTTTTCCTGAAGGATTACCCCGGTATATAAGAGATGCCAACCTCTGGTATCTCACACAAAATGCCTTGTAAAGTACCTTGAGTTTTTGTGAATACATGTTATAATGTAAAAAGAGTAAGTCTTCAATGTCAAAATATTGGAAAAAAAATTATAATTATATTATTGAGGAACGTCTCATCTGTCCTTAATCACTACATTTTATATAATCGCAACTTGACATATTTCTTTATTTACTTTTTTATCGATCTTTTTACCTTTTCTGTAAATGATATCATTAAAAGTGCTCTTCGCTCTCGCATTTTTTTTCAAAGGAACATTCAACATAGACAGCTTACAAGAAAGTGGGATCGGAAATGATTGATATCTACATAACTGCACTTAATTTTTTCTATTCCATTTCATGCATTCTATACAAGTTTACCAAAACTTATTTGATAAATCTTTAATATTAAATTGCGTTCACGGTGCTGAAATATTAAATTTTATCACGCAGAAATACACATCTAGTTATTTTAACTGTTTGAAGGGAAGTCAATTATTTTGATACAGCATGTAAACACTTTTGAAATATTTCTATAATTGGTAAGCATATGGTAACATCAGAAAATATTTAACTTTTTGTAAAATAAAAAGTAGGTGGGTTAGCATTGAGATATACTTTCAAAGTTTCTCTACCTGGGATACATGGGGGAAACTACACATTGGTGGCTTCCATGTCGGGAATCTATATGGAAACCACTGAGGCATGTTTCCATGGTTTCCTATCTTGGGAAACTAACGGGAAACCACAGGTTGGTTGTTTCCATGTCGGGAATCTACATGGAAACCACCAGGGCATGTTTCCACGGTTTCCTATCTTGGGAAACTAACGGGAAACCACAGGTTGGTTGTTTCCATGTCGGGAATCTACATGAAAACCACCAGGGCATGTTTCCATGGTTTCCTATCTTGGGAAACTTACGGGAAACCACAGGTTGATTGTTTCCATGTCGGGAATCTATGTGGAAACCACTATGTGGTTTCCATAAAATGGAAACTATATGGAAACTACTGATGTCACGATTCCCATATGTTTCCATCGGGTTTCCAAATTTGGGAAACCTGGCTTTTCATCCTGTGACTGTCATCATGAATGGCTTGAAACCAGACATTGTAGCAGACGTAAACAAGGTGGACCCAAAATCCTTGGAGGAGCTGAGAAATGTGGCTGCCCGAGCAGAAATTGCCGAGAGAAGCCGGACCAAATCTACTGCCCTGCAGGAGAACACTGACCTTGCTCTTTTAAATGAAATTAGAGATGACATGAGAGCCAACCAGAGGAAGTTTTCCCCTCAACAGTTCCGGCGTCCTGGTATCAGTTTTCATCTTTGTACGACTTACTACATTCCTGTACGCCTTTGTCCGCCATATTTCTTCGATTCCGCCATATTTAATCGAACATTTTTGGCCACCTTTACGTGCTATATCAATCGCATCATCTCGGGTCTTACCGTCAGAGCTTGGAAAAACAACCTCGAATGTACATGTATTAACATCACCAGATGTCAAAATTTTAAACATTTCCTTTTTAGTCAAATATAGGATAGACGAAGTTAGAAGTCCTTTCTATTGTATATTTTAGGTAATATTCTTACATTGAATAAAGTTAATTTTCATATTCCACAGATAAAAGGTCCCCATGTATTTATTTCAAAGATCGCGAAAAGGGAGGGTTGTCATGGCGAAATTTAGAAGTTTTCCCCTGTTCATGGAATAAAAAGAGGGGCTCCTATTAAAATATTTTTTGTCGATATGATGTGTAGGCCTTGTATATTT